TTCCGGGATGCCCGGGGAGAGGGGAACCGCGTCGTAGGTGCGGAATGCGCGGGGGCGGGGAACCGCGTCGTTGATGCGGAATGCGCGGGGGCGGGGGAACCGCGTCGTAGATGCGGGATGCGCGGGGAAGAGGGAACCGCGTCGTAGATGCGGGATGCGCGGGGAGAGGGGAACCGCGCTCGCGCTCGCCGCGTTCGCCGCCGCCGCCGCCGCCGCCGCTCGCGTTCGCCGCTCGCGTTCGCCGCTCGCGTTCGCCGCCGCGTTCGCCACCGCGTTCGCCGCCGCCACCGCCGTTGCGCACGGGCCCCACCCCACGTTTATCGCTCGCGGACCCACTCGTTATCGCTCGCGAAGAGGAAGAGGAGGAGAAGAAAATAGATATTATTATAATTAAAATATGAAAAATATTTATTTTAAAATTTATGTAATAATATGATTATAAAATATATGAAATGAAAAATAAGAATATGTAGTCCATTCAACCGCGCCTGTCCGTTGCCATCTGCAACAGACAAAAAAAGAAGCAATTTATAAAAATTGTACAAATAAGAAAGAAAGGAAGACAGCTATTTAAAAAACTTACCCTAGTTGTAAAAGGCAACCTGCCTTCTGTCGGTGACCACATCTACAATTATGCGCAATTGCGCCTCCTCGCACGGGCTCCCCGGCATCTGCGGGCTCCTCACGCCGCCATCATCCGACGCCTCCACCCCGCGCGGGCCTTCCACCTGTGGGCTCCGCAGAGGCGTTCTTGCCCTCGCCTGCTCGCGCTGCGGGCTCTCCCGTGGGCCCTCCCGCGGGTGCACATCCTCCCGCGTCCTCGCGTCCCACGACGCCTCCATCTGCGGGTTTACCCACGGAGGCATCCTCGCCCACGCTTCGTTGCCATCTTCATCGTCGTCGTCATCATCATCGTCACTGTCGAGGAGATTATTCTGAAAAAAACATCGTATTTATCCAATAGTAAAAACGTTGAAGTTATCTGAGAGTAATTGCTTTTGTACTTACCATGAATTGTCGACGCTCCTTAGCCGCCACCCTCTGCTGTATGTACGCCATCCACGCGTCATACCTCTCGTCACTGTCCAACATACGACACTCCCAAATCCTCGTATAATATAAACAACTGGATTTCAATGTCTTATGAACAAAGCAGAATATATTATCGTTAAACTTATTATGATCTTTTAGCACTGTGGTAAACCCATTTTCACGTTCGCGAAGAAGAATTGCCAGCGGTGGCATACACTCTGTATCCTCATACATGGTGGGCTGACACTAAAACTAAGCATACAGCCCGAGATGTTCGCACCCGAGAAAGATAAAAATCAAATGCGCTAGCATTCAAACACACGTTATAATAACTTCTACATCTTAATGTGCAAGCGTCTAGGTACATGTTATACTTACCACTACATCTCCGTGTCGCGATAATGTTGTAAGGACAAAGCATCTAGATACTTACCACAACATATTAACATTGTCACATCTCCATACAACGGTAAATGATAACACATAGGTATAACTAGACGCGAGGTCGCGAAAGGGGATTCCAGCGCGGACCCAGCTGCAATTTTCTTTCTCTCTCCCTCATGCGGTATCTCCATCCCACCCATTGCATCATTCTCGCGCGCGATGTAATTCGACGAAGAGATATGGAACGAAAAAAATTTAACACATAATGTATATATAATTAATTATGGAACGCATCATGCACAATATGATCTGACGCGTAAGTTATGAGTTCACATTCAATAAGCGACGTTTTATCATATACCTTACGCAAAATATTTATTGCATCATCTTTATTCACAATACAATTGTGACGTAAATAATCGACAAAATGTTTAAACTTATTACTAACGGCGTCCGTATTTTCATTTAAATTAAAGTATGCATGCTCAACGCAATGTTCGAGTTCGAATATAAAAAGCATAGTCGATGGTTTCATGTACATACAAGTATCATTCAGCGTCAATTTAACAATATTTTCTTTACGTATTTTTACGAGATCTATAACTAAATCTTGAATTCGTAGTGAGGATGGAACGCTTGACTGCAGAAATTGTTCAATATCCATACATCTCTCGATAAACATCCTTCACATTCCATAAGGCAGAATAATGTAATTGCCTCGGTTGTCACCAATAAGTATTTCCACATAAGATATAGATCCCACGCTGATTCCAATATCCAAGTATTTAAAATTAGTGGTTGTTAAAGCGAATCTTCTTCCCAATATACGAGGCGTCTTCGTAATATGAGACGCAATTCTATAAAAGAATTAAAGCATGGAAAACATAAAATAAGCATGGAAAAAAGGACAAATCATTTATTAAAACTTACGGTCTCTCGATCGCCTCATCCTTCAGCGGAACGTAGAAATTCATTATAGTCGAAAGACAACAGACCAATCTGGCACCTCTCTGTCAAAATCTAGCACCACTCTGTCAAACGTTCTTTCGAATACAGATTTCAAAGTGCGACTGACAATCTCGCGGTCCGGCAGTTGTATATCTATACACAACTCCTCTTCTATAAATGCCCAGCTTTGTCCATCGTGGCGATTGAACGAAACTCTTATACCCCTGGCGTTAAATTCATCGGGATCCTTGTCTGATTGGTGGAAAAGGAACGATTTCCACCACACATCGAAACGTGACTCAATTTCCGTGTAGCGTGACTCCTTTTCTATGTAGCGGTGATTACTAATACCATAAATTGTTCCTTTGCATGTGTAAAGGATTAACTCTGTGACACTGTTCCAATACATATCACGGCAATGTCTAATTACACGCATCTGCAACGAATGATGGGGACATCTCTTCTTAACGCGAGTAAGCACATTTGGAAATCCACATTCTCTTTCACGAAGAAGACGAACAATCGCAGAACAATATCGAGGTCGTTCTCTCCTCCACCATAGAGGAGACACTCGCCCGAACGTAGCCATGTCTCCTTCGCTCGACATTTTTAACAATGTGAAATCTTGCGAGCATTTATAAGAGCATTTATACGAGTAGCCATAATGCCTCGCGATGAAATCACATCGTCAAACAGACGTAAAAACTGCAATTTAGCATTTTGGTGAAGCGCCGATGTACGGCAGCTGTGACACAATAGATTCGCGTAATATAATATTTTTTCAAGGACAAATAATATGTCTCACTGCATCGAACACGTGTTAAAAATGCAATTCAACAATTTGATCAGCTGTCACATAATACTCTCGTGTAATATAAGATTTTTATAAAGACAATTAAAATAACGGTGAGATCATCGTGTTAAAAATGCAATTAAGCATTTTACACAAGCGCCGATGTACGGCAGCTGTCACATAATACTTTTGTGTAATACGTGATTTTTCATGCACAATCAAAATATCGATGAGATCACCGTGTTAAAAATGCATTTTAGCATTTTTACACAAGCGCCGATGTACGGCTGCTGTGACACATTAGATTCGCGTAATATAATATTCTTTCAATCTAAATGTCTCGCGGTCATCGAACACATGTTAAAAATGCAATTAAGCATTTTGATCAAGCGCCAATGTATGGCAGCGAGATCACGTCGCGAAATCAAACAATATCTGCAACATTGCGAAAAATAGACCACACCCATTAGTTTCGGCATATATATTGTAAAGATTTTGACACACCTCGTCAGTGGTGAGATTTAATACAACCAGGTGATTGTGAAAATGTAACTCTTGTTATTGAACATCGAAGAAATGATACCACCCGATGATTACATGGAGGTAGAAGTAGCGCATGAGGAAGATGACCAAGAATTGATAGAAATAGAAGATTTTTCAGATGACTCAAGTAACGATAGTGGTATGGACAACGAAGTGATTGAATTAGTAAAGCATGGATTATTGTACTCAGATGATGTTTATGATCTGCATATCACAGATGTAATGTGCATGCTCGAGTTCTATTATATAGACGAAGAAGATGAAAGCCTGAGAAGATACTGTTCCTCATGCGTTATTAGAGGGAATAATCAATTTTCATATCTTCGTCTCTTGCGAAGACACACTACCGAAGAATTTATACTCCACGATGGTTATTTATGCTGGGGATGCGAATGTCCGTTGTTTCAAATAATGCCATCTAACATGTGTCCTATTTGCACAGAGTGAGAAAGACACATTTGTGTATTGGTTTCAAAGAGAATATGGAGCAAACGATAAGAGATCTGGACGAGCAAGCCGCCCGGCTGATTACGCGAGAAGACTTTATCGCGTGGGAAGAGCGTGTCGACGAATTCATCGATTCGTTCGATGTGCAGAGTCGAAATCCGCGATTATCGATCGGTGTGAGACAATCTGTCATCGCTCGTATCGCGCGACTGGAAGTTTGAAAGATTCGGTGTGCGGACGATTCGTGCATGTGGGTGCAGGATTCAGTGCTGGACTCAGATGGCGTGAGATAGACGCAGCTTTCAACAGTCGTATACTGACCGGTGCAGTAATTAATTCCAGACACATTGAACCTCGACAGTTTCTGGAAGATACGCGAGAAATTGTGCTCGAACGTGTGCGAAATGTTATGCAGAGACATAATAACATTAAGATAAACACAGTATTCAACGGTGAATTCGTAACGGGTGACAAACGTGATAATAAAAGTATTATTACGAGAAACTGTGAACTCTATCTTTGCTCCGATTTACGCGTGTGGTACGATTCGCGCGTTGTTGAGCCTACCTTAGCGTCGCTGGAAGAATTCTAAGAACGTGACAGCGGGTGGGCATTATCGCGTATATTGAACTTGCTAGTTAATATA